AATGTGGTAAAATAATATTTTCAATAAATTCTCCTGGAACAAATGGACATTGCATGCAAAAGAATGAAATTAGATTCTTATAGCATACACAAAAATAATTCAAAATGGATCATAGACCTAAACATAAGAGGTAATGCTATAAAACTCTTAAAAGCAAACAGAAATCTTTATGATTTGAGCTAGGAAATAGCTTCTTAGATATGACACCAGAAAGCACAAGTGACAAAAAACAAAACAAAACAGTTACATTGGACTTTTGTCACATGTGTCCTTTACAATGGTAAATGATAATACCCAGTGTAAAGAAGAAGATATGAAGAAAAGACAGTATGGTACCACACTAGGATGTAAGCTTTTACTATAACCCCAAGGTCCAGAAGACTGCAGGGTTGCTAGTAGGTGCTCAATAAATATTTGTTGAATGATAATTATCAATGGAAATATAAATTGATATAAGTTTTATGGTGGCAATGTGGATATATGTGACAATAATTAAAATACACATACCCTTTCCTCATTAATTTCAATTCTAAGTATCCAAAAGAAAAAACAGAACAAGTTCTCAAAAATGAATGTGCAGATTTATGCACTACATTTTAATTTACTTATAGAATACTTAGTGATTATTTGATGGGTACCAAAAAAATATACTAATGCTACAAATATGTAGAACTATATCAAACTGTTTTCCTCCTTGAATAATAATTTGGTTGATGGCATAAAAATATTTAACTAAGTAAAAAAATCTGTATCTATTTTGGATTGAATTTGTATTAAATTAGTACTAGAAAAATATTTTGAACATGAGCTTAAAACATGTTGCTTCACAGAAAAGTAGGAATAAGATAAGCCAAGAAAATAATGTGACTTTGTTCTGGAAGTTCTAAATAACATAATATAAGAAAAACAGGTAAAAATTATAATTATTTAATTGGAAGAGACAACAATATTTGCAGTCTATTACGGTATTCCTGAAAAATCTAAAATAAATTGAAGTATAATTTAAACTAATTGAAGTTGGGACACCTGGGTGGCTCAGCAGTTGAGCATCTGTCTTCAGCTCAGGATGTGATCCCAGAGTCCTGGGATCAAGTCCCACATCAGGCTCCTTGCAAGGAGCCTGCTTCTCCCTCTGCCTATGTCTCTGCCTCTCTCTCTCTCTCTCTATGTCTCTCATGAATAAATAAATAAAATCTTTTTAAAAAATAAATAATAAAATAATTGAAGTTTAAAGTAGGAAGGACAGTTGGAGTTTTTTGTTGTTTTTTTAAGCAGACCCCTTACCTGGTATGGAGCCTGATGTGGGGCTGGAACTCACGATTCCTGAGGTCAAGACCTGAGCTGAGATCAAGAGTTGGACACTTAACTGACTGAACCACCCAAGCACCCCAAGAGAGACAGTACTATATGTACCTCACAAACATTATTTTTGAAATTTAAGAGCATAAAATACATAAAACCCAAACCATTTACACAGCACAAAACAGAAAAAGTACTTCAAAATGTTTCAAAATTTGCTGAGTAGTATAAAACATTTTAATAAAATAAAAGGCTTGGGGTCCCTGGGTGGCTCAGTCCTTTGAGCATCTGACTCTTGGTTTCCTTCAGCTCAGGTCATGATCTCATGGGTCATGAGATTCAGCCCCTCCTCAGCCTCCGTGCTCAGTGGGGAGTCTGCTTGAAGATGCTCTCCCTCTGCTCCTTCCCCAGCTCATGCTCTCTCTTTCTTTCTCTCTCTCAAAAAAAAAAACTTATCTTTAAAAAATAATAAATAAAATAAAAGCCTTATCTTATTTCTGAATAGGAAGCTCAGTTTTATACAGAAATCACTTCCTTGTAACTTTATTAGTTTAATGCAATGTAAATCAAAATCCCCATAGAACTTATAGCTATAAACTTGAGAAAATGTTTCTAAAGTTTATCAGGAAAAATAAAACAGAAAACTGGCCAATAATAGTGTAAAAAGAAAATAATAGAGGTCACTTATCCTACCAGAGAATTCAAAGAATTTTAACAGTACCAACCTGGCCAAATTGTTAGCAAATAAATCACTACTGTTGTAGGGTAGTTTGTTATGCAAGAGGAATTCAAGATATGCAATTTAAAATGATCTTTCACCTATAAGATTGTCAGAATATTATACGTGCATGCATATATAATTGATTCAGCCTAGTTATACAAAGACAATGAGCAACATTTTACACTGTTACTGGCATTTAGTAGAACTGGTTAACTTTTTTGGAGAGCAATTTGGCAAAACATATCAACAGCCTAAAATATGTACATAGAGTTTGACCCAACTATTCTCCTTCTAGAAAGATATAATGAAAATAAATAATACAAAATCAAACATTTATCTACAAGGATGTTTCCCACAGTATCATTTGTAAAGCCCCCCAAATGGAAATATCTTAAGTGTATAGTAAGAAGGATTAGTGAAGGGAGTATAACATGATATAGCCACTAAATAATAGGATAGATCATCCCTAAAAAGTTAGATTGTATTTAGAATACTTAATGACACAAAAAGTTAACCATAACATTTTAATTGATACATTGAGTAATAAAATGCCGGTTAAAGATAATTCATAAAGTATTATCTCATTACAATTATAGAAATATAAGTATGGAGAGAGACAGAAGGAGAGGGAGAAAAACGGAGAGTCCTAAATATAACCAGGGGTCATTGTTAAGTATCGGAATTATTATTGCTTATTTTTTAATTTCTGCTCTTCTAAACTCCCATTTTAAGAAGCAGGAAGAGAGTATCAGTGACATGTTCGATTAAAATATAAGTTGATGCTGACAAAACTTGCAAATGGTCAGGGTATGTGAGAGTTGAGAAGACATTAGAATATTGTAAAAATTAGGAGCATCTGGGTGGCTCAGTCAGTTGAGTGTCTTCTTCTGGCTTGGGTCATGATCCCAGAGTCCTGGGATCCAGCCCCACATTGGACTCCCTGCTTGTTGGGGAGCCTGCTTCTCCCTTTCCCTCTGCCTGCCAGTCCCCCTGCTTATGCTTGCTCTCTCTCTCTCTGTCAAATAAATAAATAAAAATTGGAAAAAACTACTGTAAAAAGTAAAAAGAAAAACATCTCCTGAATCTCAAGTAACTTGTTGATTATGCTTTTTGTCTGAATTAGAAAGACAAATTAAAAATATTCTGACAATATTTCATGCACTTCAAAGTCCTTTGCTGAAAAGATAAAAGGAAGACCTAAATAATATTTGTACTCTGATATTATCTGATAGCCTAAATTAGGCCAAAGTAAAATATTTGCAAGATAATTTTCAAAAAAAAAAAAAAGAAATAATGTTCTCTCTCTTCTTGATAACCTTGGTAAAAAGTATTATCTAGAGAAGAGATGGTTACTAGAGGGGAAGTGAGTGGGCGGATGAATGAAACAGGTGATGAGGATTAAGAGTACACTTACAGTGATGAACACTGAGTAATGTAAAGAAATACTGAATCATTATATTGTACACCTGAAACTAAAATAACACTGTATGCTAATTGTACTTCAATTAAAAACATAGAGATTTTTTCCAAAATAAATAAAATTAAAAGTATCTAAATATGATTGTTCATTAATGTAGATGAAACCTATGGAAATCGAATATAATATAGTATACAACTGTGTATACTTAATATCGTGTATAAGATGAGAATTTTCATGTTCTCTAATGTCAGAAAAGTAGCTTTTGCTACCTCATGCACTACATTTGCCTACAGCTAGAAGAGACACCAGTGAACTCTGTAGACGATATCGTTCCATGTGAATCACATGTGTACACTATCCATAAAACATACCCCAACCAGTGTACTTAAAAAAGCAAAATGCTCTTCAGCATTTTCTTAAATCTAAAGATGTCCTCACATTTCTTTTATCTTTTCCTCCTGAAAGGTAAGTAACAGCTATCGTTATTCCTAAAATAAGATTTAAATCTCAGAAAACTGTATTTTAGTGACATGACTAAGAATGGATAGACAGTACCTTGCATTCAATACACTCTCTTACTGTGTTATTATTTTCACTTAGTTCTTTCTATTCTACCTATTGGGTACAAGGCTTCATGCTAGTTATGCTGGAATATATAAAGTGTTTTGGTGTAAGAATATTATACTCTAGGGATGCCTGGGTGGCTCAGTGGTTGAGCATCTACCTTTGGCTCAGGTCATGATCCTGGGGTCCTGGGATCAAGTCCCACATTGGACTCCCTGTATGGAGCCTGCTCCTCCCTCTGCCTGTGTCTCTGCTCTTCTCTCTCCCTCTCTCTCTCTCTCTGTGTCTCTCATGAATAAATAAATAAAATCTTTAAAAAAATTTTTAAAAAGAATGTTATACTCTAATTGTCACAGAGAAATTTGATTCCTATTTAGGCGGATGCAGCAACATGACTTTCCACATCATGGGTAGCAAGAAGCTTTCTACTTGGCACTTTTGTAGCAAAATCTCTGAAGGAAAAACATATGAGAAATGGCCCCTGAAACTTTGCCAATGGTACGTCTCACTCTTGGGCATATTCCAGGAAAGGTGTTTTCTTTTCTTTTGTTTGTTGTTTTTAAATTATTAAACATCGAGGGACACTATTAAAAAAAAACAGTATCACAGCAACCCCTCTTAAATCCTCTGGTAATTTCAGGTCGTGATTCCAAGAGCATTAAATATAAGTACAAAGTACATGCTGGCTCAAATATAAGTGATTTTGAGTTAGCCTTGAGTGTCCTTCATAACGTGTCATATCTTGAGTTCTCTAGAGAGCAGAACTGAGACCATAGTTTCCTTGTTTATGCTCTACCTCCTGAAATACTCTGGAAGCATGAGCCAGGCACTTCTAGCAACCATCTTACTGAATTAAAAGATATACTCAGCCATGCGTACAAGTTAGAAAAAGACCCAGAGCAAAAGGAGCTTAGGTGATCTTTGATAGCTTCTGAGTTAGGATTATCTTAACTCCTCTACTCTCCAGTCATATGAGTAATAGAAAGCTGAACATACCTCTTTGGGAGAAAATGCTATGCCACATTCCAGGGATGTGCCTTCCTCTAACTCCAAAGAATATATGTCAGGAAATGCACGGTCTGTGAATTCCTCTATAAGACATAAAAAAGAACATATATTTTTAAAAAGCCAGATACATATCTATAATACCACTATTAAATGTAGAAATGAAATTTTGAGAAACCTCATAAACATGTTTATAATAGTAAAAAACCAGTTACTGTGCAGGACTGCATATGGTTGCTGTTGGTTAAAGAATGACTCTTAATACCAAGGTTCCAACTGGCAAAACTGATATTCAAACATGCATCAAACATAGATTCAATTAGCAAAGCAAACAGTAAACCCATCTTTTAAAATCTCCAAAGGGGATCCTTGGGTGGCGCAGCGGTTTAGCGCCTGCCTTTGGCCCGGGGCGTGATCCTGGAGACCCGGGATCGAATCCCACGTCGGGCTCCCAGTGCATGGAGCCTGCTTCTCCCTCTGCCTGTGTCTCTGCCTCTCTCTCTCTCTGTGACTATCATAAATAAATAAAAAAAATTTTAAAAAAATAAAATCTCCAAAGGAAAAAAAAATAAAATCTCCAAAGGTCAAGGAGCATATCACAGCCATATTCACAAGGATATAGAAAGGAATGAAGGTCAAAGTCAAGTAAGGGACTGAATCTTAGGCCCAAGAAACTGAGAGACTCCCTCTCCAGCAAAGACAGCAGGGAAGACCCAGATCTTCTCTGATGCCTCCAAGAGGCCACAGTGAAGATAAAGACAATTTTATCCAAGGTCACTTTTTGACAAAATAGAATTAGTCCAGACATAAAAGCATTAGATGGAGATACAGAAACAATTGTCAAAAAATAATGCAAACTTCAGGGTAAAAAATTATAACCACTTACAGAAACTTCTACAAGTTCCTGAAAGATCAAATGTTTGTTATAGTAGAACCTCTGTCCTCATCTAAACAATTCTGAAAACTCTTATTTTCTCCCTCAAGTTTTCTGATTAATCCAAGGAATGATGATCATTTCAATCATCCCTAGGTGGAAATGAACTTCAATAACTCATTGCACCCTCCTTTAAATTACTCAATTTCACTCACTATGATGAAAAAAATATTACATGACCAAAAAAATCATAAAGTGTATATTAACACCAGCACAGTTTGTAGTGTGGGAAAAGATACACATATTATACAGCAAAGAATGCCCACCTAGAATGGGTATGTATCTGGAACATAGAAAATATAATAAAAACAGATGGATAAATACTCATAAATATATTTGGAATATATATAAACATATAGTTTGTGACATGCAATAATCCAAGACAGCTTCAATAAATATTTCTTGAGTGCCTATAATGCACACAGCACTATATTGGACAAGTCTAGCAGAAAACAACAATTATAAACATAGTCCTTGACCTCGTGGATATCATAGTGTAGTTGGGCAAACAGGTACACAACTCTCTTTGCTATAAGGCAGACATTGTTAGTGCTAAAATGAGACTTACACAATGTCCTAGGGGAGTAAAGATTAAAAAAATAATTTCAACCAACTGGACAGGCATGGGTATGGAGCTAAATACTCATAGGAACTCATGAGTTTTAAGCTATTTTATAAAAGAGGGTGGGATCGCAGACATCAGGAACAAAAGAGGAAGAATCATGCTAGGAGAAGGGAAGCCCAGTGCCACTGGAAGGAAACATGGAACACAATCTGGCTGCAGCAGAGACAGACAGAAGAGCCTGCAATGGGAAAGGTGACAGGAAAGACAAGGTGGAGTCATACCAAATGGCCCTCAACATTTCCTCTCCCATAACTCCTCTATCCGATAATCTTGAAATGATCACGAGGAAAACCAAGTCTAATTTGTCACAGGAGGGTATTTATGTGTTAAAATACTTGTAATAATGAAACACATTTTCAGAACATTTTAAGTATAAACTTTACTGCAAATTGTTAATAATTATTAAGATCAAGGGAAGTATCTCCTAGACTGTGTGAGTAGCCTGCTGCTAAGAACCACTGCTATTGGTAATAAGAAACCAGCAAAAGTTTTTGAGTAGAGGATGGATGTGATAAGATTCTTGCTTTAGGGAGCTCACTCCCAGAAGAGGTCTAAGGAGAAAAGCTTAGAGGCAGGGGAAGCATTTGAAAAGATGATGCAGTGGCCCCAAAGGGAGGCTTAAGCGAGGGATAAGGCAAAATTGTGGAAACAAGTGTACTTTGCAGACTAGCTTTGCAGATTAACAAGAGTCTGTGATCCAATGAACAAGGTGCATGACTGTATATGAGGCAGTCAGTGAGAGTAAAGTATTAAGCAACTAAAGTTTCGGCATCCAGAATAAAAAAAAGAAGAAGAAGAAGAATATGGACTTCATATGTATTTCCAGTTGCCTGCTGCTATCATTCCTGGGCTAGCGCACAGTCTTATTACATACCACGCTCACCTAAACCTGATCCTCCTCCTGTATTACATCAACCATGAATTTTACCTCCAGTCATTTACCTCTTATAATCAAAACCTGAGAGAGATTTGAGCCTGGCTCCTCCTCCCTAATACCCATGTCCCCTTGGTAACCAAGTCAGAGCACTTCTGTCTCGACACCTTCATACTCCCTTGCTTCCCATCTCTAGCACCACTCCCTGTGTTCGGGCTTTCATCACTTCTCACCCAGATGGCCACAACCCCTAGCTGACCTCCTTCTCTCTGGTCTTACCTTTTCCCATTTCCACATGTTCCTCCAGCCCATTTTCAACTTTGCTCCAAAAGAAAAATTAGCAAAATGTGAGTTCTGATCATATCACTGCCTAGATATATGTCCTCTGATGGTGCTGCCTATTCACCAGGAGAAAAGTCCAGAAAAGATCCTTCATGACCTGGATCTCACTTGCCCTTCCAGTCCTGTTCTTCCACACTCTGGACATCTTGAACTACTTACCATATTGACTCATTTCTAGACCCTTGCTTGCATTCTTTTACATATTCCCCCTTTTCTTGTGTATCTGCAAGACTAGGATTAGGCATGAACTTCTCCAAGAAATCTTTCCTTAGGCTGATTGCTGGTCTTCCCTAACATATGCTCCCTTAGTACCATGAACCCACTTGTCTCACAGAACCTGCCATGCTCGATGCTAATAAGCTGATCCTTTGACCACTTCACCTACTGTTACAGATGTTCTTCATTTGTCACTTAGATTCAATAGCCACCTTTCTCTGTTCTGCTCTGTCCTGACTTCTATAGGTCGACTCATCTAGGCCCTCTTGCTCTTCTGCCTCTGACTTGGTTCAACCTCACAGAGACACCAGTAGGCTATCAGAAGGTAGGAGGTATTTATGCCTTCATGTCTTCACTGCCTTGTCTACGGTTCTGGCAATGGCTGCAATTCCCTTACAGCTAAAGCTCTTATCAATTGGCTCCTCTTTCGTAGTTTCACCGGTCATGGGGTTGCAGTAATACCTTGCTTCCTGTTAGTCCTTCAGGTGCAGAGGTAGTAGCAGCATCCATTCCTGGTTGATTTCTTTTAATCCAGCTCCCACCTCCATAGATAATTCCTTCATTAAACTCTCTTCAGTTAAACCCTTTGAGTGAGTCATCTGTTAACTACTGAAATCCTGACTGATACACTTGCTGTTTACTTCTTGAGAACATGTAAAATATCTTATCTTTACACACTCAAAGTCTAGTATCTAGCATATGATTGGTATTCAACAAACATTTATTGAAGAAGAAATGACCAAACTAATGGTTGGCAAACTCTATAAGGGTCCAGATATGAAGTACTGTAGGCTCTGCAAGCCATATGGTTTCTTTCTCAACTATTAAACTCTGCCATTATAGTATGCAAGCAGCCATAAACAGTACACAAACAAATGTGTCTGTACTCTAATAAAATTTTATTTATAAAAACATGTATCAGGCCAGATTAGCCCACAAGCCTTACTGTGCCAACCCCTGGAGCAAACAAATGAAATGTCTTTGTAGAAGTGCCTATCTTTTAAACTTAATGTGATATAAAGTTACTTAATACATGAGTAAACATATACAAAGTACTCTCTAAAGACATTTACCTGAAATTCTTGGGCAATTAAAATTAGCAATTAATTATTTCATTTTCATTTATAGTATATGCTTAACTTTATTTTCTTTTACTTATATGTAACATTCTTAACTAACTATATTAAATCAACTAAGCATGGTTATATGTTATAAATCACCAAAGCATTCTGATATTAACATTGATATATTTCTAGAAATAAAACCATGGTGGGTTACAGAAATAAGAAAAGCATGCATTAAGTAATTAAAAATATTTAAGAACAATTGCCCTTGACTTACAGTATTTTTAGCATTATACCGTAAAGCAACTTAAAACTATCTTATAAGAGTATCATTATAGTATAGAAGCCATACTTGATTTATCTTTAAAATCCAAAGAAAAATATTCAAAGTGTGGTAGATTAAACTCCACTCTGGCACGTGTTATACCTTTGTTTTTTATTATAAATGGGATAATCTGAGTAGCACCAACATAGGTACCACTGAAGTTGAATACATCCTAAAATTAAAGACAGAGAAAGAATTAGAAAGCAGAATAATATTTTATGAAAATAATGTAAATCAAAAATTACACTTTAAGAGAGTAGACCTTAAAGTTCTTATCACAAGAGAAAGAATGTAACTATATTTGGTGATAGATGTTAAATAGACTCATTATGGTGATCATTTTGCAATACATACAAATATTGAATCACTATGTGGTACACATAAAACTAACATAATGTTATAGGTCAATTATACCTCGATGAAAAATGTATACTGTTATTTTTCATCAAGGATATTAAAACTCCTGTTCTCTAGCATAACTGGTCACATTTTCCTTCCTCTCCCCTACCTCCTCTATGTAATCAGCTACCAAATCCCATTTATCCTACCTCCTTCACCTCTTATCCTTAAAGTAATTGTATGAAATTAATAATTCATCACTTACCATTTCATTTCTAGATTTGTACTTTCTCCAATTCTCCTCTCCACAGATAAGTCACAATTAAATTAATCAAAAATGTGTACTTCCTATCTTAAAATGTGATGATTCTCCTCCAACTACCAGACAACGTCCAAGTGCCTCATCAGGCTCATAAAGTTCACCTTGACCTTCCTGTGCCTCACCTTTCTCCACTCCTATCCTGTCATTCATACTTCAGCAAGCTATATGCACTGCCATTTCCAACCAATACCTGATGTTTCACCGTTCTGTGTCTTTATCAGTGTGTCCCTTCTGTTAGGAAGGCTTTTCTCTAACTCAGAATTGCCTGATAAAATATTATCTATCCTTCAAATCCCAGTTAGATAAATTATATTTTATTATACTGTGCTTGGAACTACTTCTGTTCCTTCTTTTCCCTCACCATTACAACATCAGAAAGTGTGTTTATTTGTTTACCAATCTGTCTCTCCTAGTGGACCATAGGCCTGATTCATTTTTGTATTCCTAGCACCTAATGCCTAGCTTTAATATAGGTAAGGAATGCTTATTGAATGTATCTTAACTTTAGCTTACGTGCCAGGTATGTGCCTACATCACAAAGCTCTGTAGAACTCTTCTTATGGCAGAAATATATATATATAGCCTTACAGTTACTTAGTAAAAGAATTACATACAACATTAAAGAGAAAGTGGCAACACTATCCTGTTGTTAAGGAAATTATTGCATTAAGGTCAACCGGCCACTATTTTTCACCTAAAATATCAACCCGGTTCTAGAGGTAAAATCTGTAAAATCCAATACAGGTAATAAAAGCTTGATGCTTTGTATATGCAAAAAAAAAATACTTCTCTTACACTATTCTGGCCTTGTACATATGCTCATTTGGATAAAATGTCCTAATTGTTATTAAGATACATATTCAATGCCATACAATTATTAAATGTCTTACTGATGATGACAGAATATTATTTTTTAAAAGGCAGCTAGGCAGCCATGTTTAAAACTTAACATAATCAGAGAATATTGATATATCTTAATATAAAGTCTCAAAAATTACTCACTTGAACCATAACATGCAAAGCATGCCATGAATGCCTTCAGAATATGGAAATAAAGTAGTCAAAGTCTCAATACACTTCTAATAATGTTCAAGGAGAAACACCATGGCAATGGAGAAAGCACTCTGGATACCACAGGGTTTAGCCTCCAAGAATCACCATAGTCTTGGACAAGCTAGCCTAGTGTCTCTCAATCTATCTATACTTATCACGCCTTCAGTATCAAATAAAATATAGGTTAGAAAATTATAACTCAAAGTCAGACACTAGAATTGTAGTGATGCCATTAAAGTACAGACTAGTAACGAGGCCCTACCTGAGGCACTGTCAGCCTCATCCATTTTTGCTCAATTTAATTCAGTACCAGAATGGTGCAAGGTGCTATAGTACTAGTAGGAAAGAAGGACAAAAGTGCAGATAACCTGAAAATAATATGGCAATTGCCATGATGAAGATGTTTCCAGAGTTTAAGATGTTTGTAACACCTTAAGAATGTCACAGTGGAGGGGCATATGGGCCTGCTTTGAAGGACCAGGGTAAAGTTTTTAGATAGACAAGACCAGATTTAATTCCTGAAAGACTTGCCAGAAAAAAAAAAAAGTATACGTGTATACTCTAACAATTGTAGAACAAAATTTTATCAGGGTACACAACAATAATTAAAAAAATAAATATAACTATAGTTCAGAAAATACAAATCAAGACCACAGTGAGATATCATTTTATACCTAGTAGACTGGCAAACATTAAGTCTTAAAATACAACTTATGGAGCAATGGCATGTGGAGCAATGTAAACTTGAGAAGAAAATATGGAAACTATCTTGTGAAGCCAAAAATGCACACATTCTATGACTTAGCAACTCCACTCCTAGGGAAACTCTGGCATCTGTCCCTCACAAGATATATACATGAATATTTCCAGCTGTAGTGTTTGCAATAACAAAAAATGAAACATCTAATTGAATGGACAACAGAATGAGTCTACAAATTAAAACAGGCCTATATAATGGACTATTAAGCAGTAGTGAGAAAATACAGCTACACGCAACTTAGATGCATTTTGGAAATGCAATATACAGTTAAAAGTAACTCACCAAAGACTACACACAGCACATCTTTATCATAAAGCTAAAAAGTGAACAAACTAAACTAAATAATGAATTGTTAAGGAATTCATAGATATGTGGTGAGTCAATTAGAAAAAGTAAAGGGAGAATAATCAGAAAATTCAGTAAAGCGGTTATCTCTTAAAGAGGGGTAGAATCATGATGAAGCCTACAGATGACTTTAATGGTGTTAGTAGTATTCTGAAAGTTAAGTTCAGTGATGAATTCTGAAACCCCCATTTAATATTCTGCTTCATCACATATTTATATTACATATATTAATTTCTACATGTCAAAGTACTATATAATGAGATATTTTTAAACATAAATAGGCTGACTAGGGATACATAATAAGAGTCACCACACTCAGAAAATGATTACACAAATGGTTAACATACTAACATACTCACCGGATTAATTTCCACATCAGCAATCTCAACAGATCCACCAATCCTAAGGTCTATGACATTTGCATGGTGAATAGCAACCTTATTTGAGAGAAATATAAAGCCTTGTAGAAACCACATTAAAATCTACTCATATACTACTATAGTATTACCTGGCATCTGGCAATTTTTAAAAATTTAAATAACCATAACATATTATAAATATTACAAGATTTCTGGTGGTTGTCATCACATTTCTTGTTATGCAGAATTGATATTCCTAAGAGGAATGAGTGTTCAGCTCTTAAAAACCTCCACCACAAATGGGACCAGTTCATAGCTTATGAATTTAACTGCAGAGTTCTACCCATTTAACTATACATTATTGCCACTCTCTGTATGCCTTTTGTACTTACCTAATTTCAATGGATTATTCAAAATTAAAACTGATAGGGAACTGAGTACAAACATACTTCTTCGTATAGAGAGATACTAATATCCACAATGACCATAATAATAATAATGAAAGTAGCTAAAATATTGCTAAGTAAATGAGCCAAGTATAGTGCTAAATACATTGTCTCCTTTTTAATTCTCAGTATCCTGTGAGGTCACTAATATTAATATCCTAATTTCTGAGTGAGGAAAACTGAGGGTCAGAGAGGCAGAGTATTTTGTCTTTTTCTTGATGTTTCAAAACAGCAGTGGCTAAATTTCAACCAACGACTGCCTAAACACTCCATTGCCTCTGAGAAAATTAACATAGTGAACTAAGAATCTAGTTGTATAATTCCTATAAAATTAGAACTGTAGATTATCTGAACATGTAAATGTCTAAGCAAAATCTCCAAAGCACAAAAACAGCATTCACTGAAAGCCCTACCTGTATAAGAACAGGGAGCATCAATTCTGGATTTAAATCTAAATATATATCTAAGAAAGAGAGATAGGACTATATCTTACTCTTTCCATAGAAAGACACTGACACCATTCATAGGCAAAAAAACCTCCAAACTGTCATATTTTCTAAATTATTGGGGAGAGTGACATGTCATTTAATTTTATTAACTAAATCACTGTATTCATAATATTATATGATTTCCACATCTTATTTAAAAAACATATAGTATATGTTGGCTAATTGAATTTAAATTAATTTTTTTAATTTAAAAAAGATAAAGAATATATAGTACAAAAACAAAATACTTGACTAAAATCATAAAAAAGATAATTTGATGATTCAGAGGAAATTACAAATCGACATGCTCTTCATTGATGAACCCCATAATTAAGTCTCAACACCTCATAGCTGGCTTTACCCACCTCTCCATTATTCATTATACTGACTCTACAACAGAAACTAACATAAAATGTGTGCTCAGTAAATATGTGTTGAATGGAAGAATAAACTAATCTTATTATATAATGTTAAAAAGGTAAGCTTTGTAAAAACAGCATACTCATCTAAAATATAGTAGAAATTAATCTTCTAGTGAAATCTATTTTTAGTGGCCATATTTTTATTTTTTCCAGAATATCAGATAAAAAAATACTGCCCAAATCTCAGACCATGTACCATAATATATAATTTATAATTATCTTTCAATACATATTTCTTCATAAAAGATATAATCAGTAGGTTGCTTATTTGGGGCAAATTGGTATTTATCAAGTTAAACTACATATTATTTAAGGATTGTTATGAAAAAAAAAGTGTTGTTATGGGAAATTAAGGATAAAATGGGGATATATCTGAAACTATTCATTTTGATTTGATAACAGTATACATATTATTTTTAATATGAGTAAATGTACATAGTTGATCATCAGATTAAAAAATCAAGAGTATTTAATTCCTCGTGTTTATAATAAATTTTATCAGAGACTAGTCTTCTATGTTTTATTTACTCTATTTAATAAACAATTAGAGAAGCCCCTAAAATCAAAGTAATATCTTTTCAATTACATAATTCCCAGAATATAAATTAGTAAAATATTTTATGTATGCTATAAAATATAGATGTTAACACCATATATAATTTGCACATAATTCATATAGTCTTTGAAGCTATTTATAATTAACATCCCAAAATTGATTAATTTTTCCTAAGGTATCTAATTAAATCAAATATCTAACTAAGACCATGAAAAAAGTTATCCTTCCCTCTGTGACTAGTGAGGACTTATCACAACTCAGAGATGCCAAATATCATTCTAATTTCATGTGAAAAATGCCTCATGTTAATGAAAAGTATCCATTTCAACTTAGCAGAAATTTCCATTACTAATTTTTACCAAAAATTTTCTACAAAACCTCTTGCCAGGTTCTGCTATTTCTACAAGATTGTATAGGTAAGGTTGCTTATCCTATAGATCTCTAAAAACTGCATTTCTTTAGAAATAACTAAATTGCTAACAAAGTAACCAAAATTTTAAAAATTACTCATTAGTATCATAACATTCAAACCTATTCCCATTAGAAGAAATCCTTAAAACAAGTTTTCTAAGAATAAACACACACAACATTTTATAGCATTATACTATTATAAATCTCTGAAACAAATCCACATAGACATATATAACATATGAATATATATGTATATACATAAAAAGTATGAATATACACACACACACACTCACACATGAACATACCTTTGCTCTTGTATCAAATTTTTCTGCTACAGTAGGTGTACAGGAGATATTGAGAACAGTTATACCTCCAAATGGAATGATTCCTTGTGATGGAACAATATTAATGGTAGACAAAAGACTCTGGTCACAAACCTGTAATTGAAAATTTGCAGAACTGCCACATTATCCTTTAGAGTTGCTGTTCTGAAGCTTTCATAGGAAAGCTTCCAAACTACTACCCAGAGAGAGGACTCCTGGGCACAGGACATGAGATGATTTTGTAATAAGTTTTCCAATACCAGATGCACAAATAAACTTCAACAAGGATTTGTACCCCTAACCCAGCAAATGGAACTTTTAGTAGTGGTGGCATCCAGTTCAAATAGGATGATGAAGTTTACTGTCTGAGCATTATTAAGATTTTGCAAAACTTACAAGGATGAGATATATCTGTTAGAGAAGATGATAAAATTCTGGATAGTACTTTGATAGTTTGCTTTTTCCCTGACAGTAAACACTGAAAGCAAAGTTAGTGGGGAGGCAGATGATAAAGTAACCTCTTCCTGTTTTTTATTATTTCCTTAATAGCCTAATGTCTAAGATATAATTTTGACCTTCAAAAAAGTTATAAGTAGCTTACCAAAGCATTTATGGTGTGGTTTCTCAGGGGCTAATTTAGGACCATCTATCATGCTATAAGCCAGAATAATTTATTTATTTTTTTAATTTTTATTTATTTATGATAGTCACAGAGAGAGAGAGAGAGAGAGAGAGAGGCGCAGAGACATAGGCAGAGGGAGAAGCAGGCTCCATGCACCGGGAGCCCGACGTGGGATTCGATCCTGGGTCTCCAGGATCGCGCCCCGGGCCAAAGGCAGGCGCCAAACCGCTGCGCCACCCAGGGATCCCAAGCCAGAATAATTTAAAGGAAAATTGGTTAAGGTATTTTGGGGATGAGGGAACGAACAGACTTCAGAACTAATTTTGAAGCAAGAGTAGAAAAAGGTATCTGCATTTGTTTGGGCAGATGACATGTAGATATAAAGCTTGAATGAAATATCTCAAACAGACACCTAACTCTGGGAAACGAACAAGGGGTAGTGGAAAGGGAGGTGGGTAGGGGGTTGGGGTGACTGGGTGATGAGCACTGAGGGGGGCTCTTGGCAGGATGAGCACTGGGTGTTATGCTATATGTTGGCAAATTGAACTCCAACTTAAAAAAATTAAAAAAAAATATCTCAAACATTGACCTCTATCTATTGTCACTATTGGAAGATATTAATATGTTTTTCAGCAAAAGAATATTCTATCACCACTTTAAACACCCCTCACCCTGTAATTTAAATCAGGAACAACAACTATAAATACAGTATCTTTAGGAGGAACTTGCTCTAGGTTCCAGTTTCTACCATAACAGTCTTGATGACAGAGTGAAAATGAGGAGAAGAAGAAAAGTATATAATTAAATATGAAGTTGTAATAGCAACAATAGATAATTTTTTTAAAAGATTTTATTTATTATTCATGAGAGGCAGAGGGAGAAGCAGGCTCCCGCGAGGAGCCTGATAGGAGACTCGATCCCAGGACCCCGGGATCATGCCCTGAGCTGAAGGCAGATGCTCAACCACTGAGCCACCCAGGTGCCCAACAATGGATATTTTTTAAAGTGCTCTTTTTTTTCCAAATTATCTTTTTCTCAACAAGACAAAATGACAGGAAGGGAAAAAAGGCCTAAGAAGAGGAGAGCCTAATGGTGGAAGAATGGAGAAATTATTTTTGTGGGAAATTAAAAGGACAAAGTAGCTGAAATGTACTCAGATAAGTCTCACATAAAATATAGAAATATTAGCATTAGTCAATTTATAAAGACTACAGTATTAACACCACAGTGTTCATGGAAAAAACTAATTCAAATTATAATGTGATCTGATCCAAATAAGATTCCAAGATTCTACATTACCTTGAAATAAGCATGGTTTTGTCCTACATTGTGAAGAATGGCTTTCCTCCAAGTTGTTAAACCTTGAGGACTATTACTGAAGAGGATTTGTGGCTTCAAAAACATGACCTTGGTATGACCAAGCTAGTAACAAGAGCAGAAGAGAGAAGATGCAATAAAAATAATAGTAAAAAAAATTTTTTTTGCCCCTTCCAAATGACTCAAATTATTTCAGCTTCATGGAAATTTCTAAAACATAAAGTGTTATCAGATGTTATGATGTACTTAAAGGAAAGGAAAATAGATTGGTAAATAATGTGTCAAATGAAATCATCTAGACATGTTTTTACTATTAGTCTTCTTCTAGAGCTTTATATGCTGATAATGCACACTTTGCTTATCTGAGAATGGGGAGGTAGTTCACTGTGATTCACAGAGTTACTTAGGTGCAACACTTCTCTTTACTCCCTGCACAAATCACTTCACAGAACTACTGTATCCTAGTACAGTTTTTGAAAATGCTGATGTTATCCACCTTTCCCATTTCACAGGAAAGCAAACAATAGCCAAGGGGAACTAGAACCCAAGTTTTCCACTTTCTTATACAGTGCTCTTTACACCCAACTCTGTTTATCTATGATAAATTATTGTTTTGGGAGGTTTTAATACATTCTTATAATTATTTGAGGAACATGACTTGGGTAATTTGAAAAATAAGTTTCTAAACAAAGCTAACAGATGAGAAAATGGTCAAGTAAGTTCTTCATAAATTAATGACAAACATTAAATGAACATTTTATTCAGTCACTTAATGTTTCTCCATTTGTACTTTTCTTAAGAGAAACACTACACAGTTCATTTAACTCAAAGGATCTCAAAAATTTACCATAAAATCATAGAATTCATTATTCTCATATCTCAGACTTTAATTCTTAACCAATCCTAGTGTAGGGAAAGCAGAAAGTAAATTTAATCAAAGGGTAATAGCAAAGACGGTGGAGGCAAACAGATCTGGATATGAATTCCACCTAGGGCATTTACTGCATGTGTGAATTTGTATTAAACACCCACTCTAATTCTCCATTTCCTCATCCATCAACTAACTGAGTTATCAGTATAGCCTTACAGAGTTGTTAGAAGGCTTAAATTAGGTAATACATGAAAAGTATTTAGCATCCTGCTTGACACATAGTAATTAATAAATGATATCTATTATTAATACAAAGTTTAAATTACTAAATTGCTCATCTTCTATTTGTTAGAAAAAATACACATGAGGTGAGTATGTGGGCAAATTTATATTGCTAACTTTATCAAACATAGTTATGTAAGTAATAGCTAAAGAATTGTGTGCATATCTTCACCAAAATACATCTATAAGAATGTTAAGAGAAGCACTTTTATAGTAGCGAATAATCTGAAACAATACAAATCCCCACCAGCTGTGTAATGGAAAAATGATGGTATAGTCACACAATGGAATACTATTCAGGAATGAGAATGAATACTCTGTCACCAAATGTATCAGAATAGACAAAGCCCCCAAACCTAATGATGAACAAAAGAAGCTAGATGTAAAAGAATACAAATGTTTTGATTACATTTATATAACATTTGAAACCAAAATTAATCCATACCCTTAGAACTAAGGATAGTGATAACTCTGGGAGGGACACAGAGGGACTGGAAACGTGGATGGGGAAGATGGTTCTTTTGCAATGCTAGTCATAGTCTGCTTCTTGATCTGGTTGATCTGGGTGTGAGTTACAAAGGTGCTATCAGTTTATAAAGACTGAATGATACAGAAGTCATAATATGTATACTTTTCTGTATATATCCTGTACTTCAATAGAAACTTTTAAAAAGAATAGCAAGTAATTTAAACATAGGTAAAGCAGTAGGGTCCAGCTTATTTCAAGGCTAGAAGAGAGGAAAGACCCTACTGATTTCTGACGGTCACTTGTCATCATTAAAGTGAATGAATGTCTCATCTCTTAAGGCTATGAGTTTCTTCATAGCTGAAATATTTAAAACCATGATCATGGCCTGGAGAGAGAGATGAGAATCAGTAAGACAGTACTGGCTTGAGTTAAATTACTGAGAATATTGGGGAAAAAATTTGGTACACAAGTAAAGTGGATTCTTGGTGATTATGAGACATGAAGTTGAGGTCTTCTGGCTCTACCACAAAAAGAAAGTCAAAATTACATATTGAAGCTTTAACTTAACTCATTTTTATTATAAGAGTATATTGTGTAAAATTAGAATTTTCCATATCTCCTTGTTATGTAAATTATGTGATCCATTTCAAACTGAATTATTAATTACTACCAGAATTCTAAAAATGCAATGTAGTAGGACAAAAATACAATCTTCTCTATTTTTCTTTGGTTTCTGTCAATGAAATAATTTAATTTCAAGTGGCCCTCGTGGTATTGTATGTTTATAGAGGCACTAACGGCAATCTAGTATTATGGCACAAAGGTATTGGATTTGTAAATTGATTCTAGGTAACACAACACTTTTTTTTTTTTTTTAGCAAAGTCTTCATTTATGGTAGAGAAGTGGCGCCAAGGAGATGGTAATTCAGTTAACTAAATATTGCAAGCAAAATCAGTTTTGTGAACATAGTATATATATACCCAATTGTATAAACATATATATATCCAACCAATTTAGAGTCCCCCAAATAAAAATCATATCCAAAGGAAATCATTACACGTGCAACACATTTTAGCGTCAGCGTGTTTCCTTCATTGACATGAAGAACAAATTCTCCTCTTTCCGGAGAACTGAAACCTGGCTGCCATGTTACTTCACATTCCAATGAAGAGTGTGGTTCAACTGTGCCTACAGAGAATTTAGAAAGAACAGACATTTACCACATTTTAATTATATTCATTTTATTTTTTTATATTCATTTTAATATACAAAATAAGAGCTGGCATAAAAATATGTAACATATATTGACATTATATAACAAATTATTTAAAGTAAACTCAAAATATATAGAAATGCTACATGAGAGATTATCAAATGAGTACAGACTTACAGGTTTGATTCAAATCTAAAATGCATACTTTATTTTCCAATTTTATTAGGCAGATCAAAATATTTGATAAAAGTATGCCAATATTTAGCAAAACATCCCCTTCACATGTTTCCCAACACTCTGAAATAGTTATTAACATCAGACACTTATTCAGTTTTCAGAGGAAGGAATTACAATTACCAGAGGCTTTTTGTTTTTAAATGTCCACATCCCTAGAGGTATAACTTGTGATGTAGCTATAGAGTAATTAACACATTTCTATAATTCAAATGTACTGAGAACCTAGGAGGTAGCAAGCACATTTGGTATGAGCTGCTTTATCTGTTCTAATTCATCATTTCCTTTGGAGTAAGAAAATAATACTTGATAGAAAGAATAACTTAGAAGTTCTTTCTTCAAAGAAGAGAGGATCATCGAAGATTCAAATGCACAGGGCATTGAACAGAAAGATGAGTGACCATCACAAATATACTTTGCCTTAAGGTTAGGTTGACTTGCATGTGATGGCAGTTTCTGTAATCTTAAAAAAGAAGACATAGTACCTACCTCTTAATTAATTCTGTAATCTTAAAAAAGAAGACACAGTACCTACCTCTTAAATTTGCAGTGGCCATGTAAGGATATAATACACGTAAAGCAATCAACATAGTGTGTGATGCCCAGAATACACCCAGTGTCAAATTTTATTATTAATACTCTGGAATGCCAGTACTATGGTAGGCACAGTAATTTATAAAAAGAAAAGAAACTGCTCATGGAAAAGCTAACAGTCTAGTGGTGGTCCATCAGGATTATATATGTTTGGAAGTAACAAAAAGTCATGCTACAGTGGGTTAGGTAGATAGGAGTTTACTTATTTTATGCAATCAGAAGTCCATCGATAGGTATTGCAGGGGTACCTTAGCAGGCTGACAATGTCTTCAAGGAGCAATGATCCCTCTAGCTTGCTATACTACCATGCCTTAACATGAGGTCTTCTCAGTGTAGAAAAGTGTCATAGCATAGTGGTTTAAAAAGCACAAATTCTAGGGTTGGAATCCCTGGTTCCAATTTCAGCTCTGCCATTTTCTAGTTGAAAACTTGGGACAATTTACTTAACATATATATCACACAGCCTTTTCAGACTTAAATGGGGATCACAGTTGTATGTAACTCAGAGAATTGTTGTAGGGATTAAAGAAGCAAGTATATGTAGAAGTGCTTCAAATGGTGCCTGGCATGAAGAAGGAAGATGGAGCTAAAAGAAACTTCTATCTATATCTCATTGGCAAGAAAGACTGGGGACCCAAGAAAGGCTGAGGAAAAGAAATTTCTAGATATGAACATTGCTTCCTCCAACAAAATGAGGTTCCTCCTAGAAAGGGGAATGGATATCAGATATGAGCTTAGCAATATTTACTACAATAGAATATAGATGGGAATAAATAATTATAGATGACATAACAAATACACAGTGGGAGCAGGTAGAGGGAGCTTAAATTAGCCCAAGGATATAGAGGAAACCTCATTATAAGAAGATGGCATTTGAATTGCGAAAAATGAGCAGGAACTCTGCAGGACAAAGCCTGGGGAAGTATAAAAGTCAAGTGACCACACTGGAAGAGAGCTGTGTGTCAAGAAGACTGATAAGAAGTAACTTTGACAAAGCAGATTGGACATGGTCTATAAAGACACCTGAAATACAAGGAAAAGTGCCATGCACTGTGCTTTCTGTACACACTCAGGGCCTTCAAATGTGCTTAATCGAACCAATAACTACTGCAATGTGATGCCTGTTCAAAACAACTAGAGAAGGATTATCCAGAATCTCTGAAATGTGCAGAAGTATTTTCTCTCTCTTCTCTGATTATTCACTCAGCTTTTCTCTAGTACTGAGGCAGAACTCAGGCTTACCAGTATTAATAATTTAAAAAAAGAGCTTGGTCAAATGAATCTGCCAAGTAATGATGGAAGTATAACTTGAATGCTTAATACATATAATCTGGGATTTATTAAATCAATACATGTTAATAAAAAGATTAAATATGGCTATATCAATGATTTCCAACCTTACTGAAGGTACAGTACTACTTTCCCAACGCATAGATCCATAAATATATCCATACTAAAATTAAGCAAATTGAAATTAATACTGAAGCTTGTTTATAACACTCACTGTTATAAACACTGGTAAACTAATATAAAAATCGTGATTTGGAAATAACTGACACTCACAAGAATATACACCTATGGCAAGATTTCTACAAACCAGTACTTCTCTATGATCTAAAATATAGTCTACTTAGATCCCAAATGATGAATATTCCTAAATTAAAAATAAGGAAGGATTAGAAGGAAGAAGGGAAGGGTGTAGGGAAGGAAAAAGAGAGGGAAGTAAGCAGGGAACAAGTAATTGGTAATGAGGATGGCTGGCTAGATGCATGATCAGCTATTACTACTCTGAGGACATTTTCAGGGAAAAAAGAAGTAAAAAAAGAATTAGCAAATTTTCATAATAAAATAACTATATTTCCTTGACAACCACACTTTGCCAGTCTTTACAGAAGGAGTTTTCCATATATTTAATCTTTATGAGATATGTTAGTCTCTCCATTTTACAAATAAGAAAACTAGTGCTTATAGAGTACTCCTCAACAATCACAAACGTAGCAAGAAGCTAAGACTAGTTTTGAAATCAGGTTTATCTAACCCCAAAGTTTGTTTTATTTCCCATTCATGCAGAAACAGACTTCAGCTAGTTACAAAACACCACATGAGTCACTGCAAGTACAAAAATCCAGATCCTTCCAGCTAACTGAAAAGGCATAACATGTACATAAAATGAAGATGCTCTATCAATCATTCTTTTTTTTTTTTTTTTTTTTTTTAGGGAGAGAACAAACATGCATACAAGCAGGGGTGGAGGGGTGGAGTAGGGGCAGAGGCAGAGAGAGACCATCTCAAGCAGACTCCATGCTCAGCATGGAGAATGATGTGGGGCTCAATCTCATGACTCTGAGATCATGACCCAAGCCAAAAATCAATTGCAGGTTGCCTAACCCACTGTGCCACCCAGGCACCCCTTCATCATTTAACTTATAACTTGCCATCTTATTTCTTTAAATGATAGCTTGTATCTTCATGAGGTCCTCATAGTATATCACAATGATGTCTGCTGAGTTTGACAGGCTACTTAGATAACACTGAGTTACAAGGGCTCAGTTTTGTAATGGGCACATTATATGGAATTACAGATTCTGGGGAATGGCAGAAACAAGGTTAACAGGACACTTAACAAATATATAGAACCACCCAAAACAGTAAATTGGAGATTATTTTCTATTATTTAAAAAATTACTTGCTTAAATGACAATTTTAAGTTTCTGATTTTATTACCTGTATTAAATATTGATTATAAAGAATTTATGGATTATAAAGAATTTATGATGATTTATTTTGTCAACTTAGCCATACTTGGCCAAGCTATTGTGCCCAGTTGTCTGGTCAGTCTAGCTATTGCTGTAAAGGTATTTTTCAGATGTGCTGAACATTTAAATCAGTACACTTTGAGTAAAGATTATCTTCCACAATGTGAAAGGGTCTCATCCAATAAACTGAAGGCCTAAAGAGAAAAAAACTGAAGTCCCTTTGGATTCAAGACTGTAAAATGAATTTCTTCCTGGGTTTCCAGCCTGCCAAGCCTACTGGAGTACCCACACAATTGTATGAGCCAATTCCTTAAAATCAATCTCCTCCCTCCCTCTCTCTCTATATATTTCCTTTTGCTTCTATTTCTCTGGAGAACTCTAATACAGGATCTGTATTTTCAAATCAAATTTACATATTTATGCATGTAAAAATAAATGCCCCCAGGCACCTGGGTGGCTCAGTCATTTAAGCATCTGCCTTCAGCTCAGGTCACGATCCCAGGGTCCTGGGATCAAGTCCCAACTGGGCTCCCTATAAATAGGAGTCTGCTTTTCCCTCTGCCCTTCCCCCTCCCTATGCTCTCTCTCAAATAAATAAATAAAATCTTTTTAAAAAATGAAATATAAATGCCCCAATGACCATAACTGATTTGTTTCTATTTTTAGCACCACTATGCAGTTCATACTCAATAAATACTGCCTGAATACATGAATAAATCAGTGTCTAAATCAAACAAATAGAATAAACTATTACCTTTAGCCGGACGCATGGAAAACGCCATTCCTCTTTCTGTGTTTACAGGTTGCCATTCAAATTTTGCAAAGTAATTCTGATGATTATACAACCCCACTGTCCCCATAAAACATGTTTTCACCGAGAAGCCTTGTGGTCTCAATACTAGCTCATTAGAAGACAGCTCAAGATTTACTGGCATGACAACTGCCATCACTAGGATATGGCCACCAGGTATATTGTTCACTGTGAAAGTGAAAGACCTGTAATACAGCAAAAGTAGTCAAACTTAATTGACAATAGCTATTTGCAATTACAGAATTCAGTTACATGTAAAAATGCATATATTACTGATTAATACCCACAATTAATCCTCTGTAAGCAATACATCAAAATATTTATGACAGACCACACTGAAATATAAATCTACAAATTGATGCACATATAGTTTCTATGTTTGAGGACCAAATATATTCTACAATTATTGAGTTAAATAAATACATATTCTACAAAAGGATACTTTGATTCCAACATATAGAAGCAAAAATAAATCCTACTTCCAAAACTTTCCAATGGTGGGAGATTCAAATATCATCGAAATATAAGTACTAGATGTAGGCGGAATCACATATGAAAATTGTTTGGTTTTTTGAAGTTCTTCCAAATTAATATGTAACTGGATCAAAATATGCATGGATAGCATATTAACAACATGCAGTAGACGAGTATTTGTGGAGTTCACACAAACATCACCAAAGTTAAGGATAGAGGGCCCTGAAAAAAAAGGAAAATAATTAAGTTTTATGTCGGCAAATGTATTCAGTAATTTTAAGTTTCCATACTATATTTTCACCAATTAATTTATAAAAAATGGTACTTAGAGAAATATTTCTTATAGTATCAGAAGTTATTAACCAAAATTTTTATCTAAATTCCCATAATGTGGTATTTAGAGATTATTGGCTAAAATTCAACATAAATATATCTTAATTATATGGAAAATTACATTGAAAAATTATTAGCCCTCATTATAACTCATTTTAGTATACAAATTTGCATACTCCAATATATTCTCCACTTCCATCAATACATTTATGTTCATTTAACCAGAATTTACAGAAATTGGTGATTTTTCCCATTGCTCAGTACTTAAGTTTTCCCTTTTATTTTTTTTAAGATTTATTTATTTAGAGAGAGAGACAGAGAGTACAAGTGTGAGTGGGGCGAGTTTTCCCTTTTAAATGACAAAAGTTTTTATATCATATAATTTTTTTAAGATTTTATTTATTTATTCATGAGAGATACAGAAGGAGAGGCAGAGACAGAGGCAGAGACAGAGGCAGAGGGAGAAGCAGACTCCCTGCGGGAAGCCTGATGCAGGACTCAATCCCAGGACCCCAGGATCATGACTTGAGCCAAAGGCAGACAGACACTCAACCACTGAGCTACCCAGTTGACCCTATATCATATAATTTTAATAATTATAAGTCTTCTACATTTCTTAACAGCTTGATTTAATGGTAACTGATATACAATAAGCTGTGTTTAAAGCGTAGAATTTCTGGGGTGCCTGGGTGGATCAATTTTAGTATATGTGCTGCCGAAGCAAGCACTGCCTGGGTGGATCAGTTGGTTAAACGTCTGCCTTCAGCTCAGGTCATGATCTCAGGGTTCTGGGATGGAGCCCCACCTGGGGCTCCGTGCTCAGTGGGGAGTCTTCTTGTCCCTCTCCCTCTGCCCCTCCTCCTGCTTGTACTCTCTTTCTCTCTCTCTCCCTCTCTTCCAAATACATAAACAAAATCTTTAATTTTTTTTTAACATAAAGTGTAGAATTTCCTGTGTTGACATATGTAACACCTATGGAACCATCACCACAATGAAGAGAGTGAACATTCCTCACTCCAAAGTTCTCTCATCCCCCTTTATATTCTCTCCTTCCCATCATCCTCACCACTTCTCCTTTCCAGACACCCACTCAAATGCTTATGTCACTGTAGATCAGTTTACACATTCTAGAGATTTTTATGAGTAGAATAATGTAACGTGCAGTTTTTTTCTGATCTCTTTCACTCTACAAATTCCCTGGAGATTAATTCAAGTTCTTTCATGTGTCAGTAGTCCATTCTTTTATATTACAAAGTGCTAGTCCATTACAGGTGAATGTTTGTCTCTTCACCTGTTGAATGACAGTTGGATTGTTTCTAGGTACTGGTTATTACAAATAAAGCTGCTAAAATATTTGGGCACAAGTATTTGTTTGAATACATCATTTCATTTCTTTTGGATAAGTATCTAGGAGTGGAATGCATAGATCATATGGTAAATATATGTATAAATGTATAAGAAACTTCCTGTGTTCACATGGTTGTGTGATTTCCCATTCTACTAGCAATGTATAAGAGTTCAAGCTCCTTCACATCTTTGGCAACAATTGAAATGGTGAGTTTGGGTTTGTTTTAACTTTAGCCATTCTAATAGATTTACAGTAGTATCTCATTGTGGTTTTATTGGGTTTCCCTAACAGCTAACAATGCTGTGCATCTTTTCATGTACTTATTTCTCATTTGTATATCTTTGTTGATGAAATATCTGTTCAAATCCCTTTGCCCATTTTTAATTGGGTTGTTTTCCTAATATTGAGTCTCAAAAGTTGTATAAGCATTCTGGTTACAGTTCTTTCATGGCATACATAATTTGCAAATATTTTCTCTCGGTCTATGTCTTATTTTTATCCTCTTATCAGTTGCTTTGAGGAAAAGTATTTAAATGTGATCAAATCCAAATTATCCATTCATTCTTTTCTTTTTTTTGTCCATTTGTTCTTTTATGGATCATGGGGTTTTTTAAATATCATATCTAAGAAATTTTTGCTCTCTTCATCATCACAGATTTTTTTCCTATGCTTCTTTTAAAAGATTTATTTAGAGAGAAGGAGTGCACATGCGTGCATGCGGAGAGGGGGAGGGACAGAGGGAGAGAGAATCTCCATCAAACTCCCTGCTGAGGAGCCCAATGGTGGGGCTCCATCTCATGACCCTGAGATCATGATCTGAGCCAAAATCAAGAGTCAGATGCCTAACCAACTGAGCCACCCAGGTGCCCCTCCTATGCTTCCTTCTATAAGGAAGCAAAAGGTTAAAATCTAGTTTGACTTAGGTTTGGTATATGATACAAGGATATAAACTCCTTTTTTTTTTAATGAGTGGCTCATGTGTCACAGAACTACTTCTTGAAAAGATTATCCTTTTTGCATTGTCTTTGTGTCAAAGTTCACTTGTCCAATATGTGTAGATCTATGTCTGAACTCTCACTTAGGATTCATTGACCTGGGTCTATGTTTACACCAATACTATGCTGTTTTAATTACTATAGCTTTCTAAGTCTTGAAATCAGTTATTTATCTCCAACTTGTATTTTTTCCTCAAAATGGATTTGATTATTCTAACTACTTTCATTTCTACCTGAATTTTAAAATGAGCTTGTCAATTTCTACAAAAGATCTAGATGGAATTTTGACTGGAATCCTATTGAATCCACGGATCACATGGATAATTTTTCAAATCTTCTATGTCTCTGCATAACTTTTTAAATATATGGGATATAGTTATATTCCCTTTTCATATCTTTGTCTGATAATTCTACCATATGTATCCTTATTGGGTAGGTTTAATTGATTATTCTCCTCATTATGGGTTGTGTTTTGCTGCTGCTTTTCATGCCTAGTAATTTTTGTACTGATGTACTTCACTAGGTATTTTTTGTATTCCTATAAATTCTATAAATTCCTATAAATTTTCTTGAGTTTTGTTCTGGGAGGACAGATTGATTTTGTTACTTTCAAACAGATTGATCCTTCCAAGTCTTGCTTTTATGAAAGTTACCTGGATCCGGTATAGTGCTCTGAATAGTAATAATTATTCTCCACTACTGAGGCAAGAACTTCCTGAGCTCTGGCCCAATGTTCATATATCATGAAGTTGTTTGTTTTTTTTTCCTGGTCTACCAGGTGGGAAATTTCAGTCACTATTCCCTGGACTCTATGAGTAGTGGATAATTCCATAATCATTTCTAATGGGTTTTTTCCCTAGTTTTAGATAGTTTGCCTCATACCTATGAGCTGACTGGTATTTTTTAGAATAATTGAGGGGAACCCACAGCAGAATATTGAGGCCCTCATTTTGTGCAGTTCTCTCCTGCCTTGTATTCTGTCCTGTGAGTTCTGGCTTTGGTGACTCTAGTCTCATAGCCACGTTTCCGCATCTCAAGGATTCCATCAGGCTCTTCTGGGTTCCTTCTCTCTGGGCAACGGACTGGAAATTCTCCCACAGTGGTAAGCTTGGGTAGGGCTCACATATATTTTTTTCCTGCCAGACATCACTCACTTTCAGTGCCTCATATCCAGTGTCTTAAAAATTCTTGCTTTATATTCTTTTTGTCTGTTGTTTTTGGTTGTTTCAGACAGATGAGTAAATGTAGTTCCTGTCATTCCAATGTGGATAGAAGGTGAAGTTTCCCTTCCTTCTAAAACTGAATTGATAAGTTAAACTTTATAAATATGTTAGGATCTGTTTTAATGAATATTAATTTCTGCATATTTAAAAAGGGTCTTTTATCCCTATCTGAAAAATGGAGACTTCAGATTGAGGATCTGGATATAGGGCCAGACAGGACAATAGGATGTGATTGATGAACATGCTACACAGCATGATGACTCAAAAACCAGTGTTAAGGGAAAAAGTCAGTGTCAGGCTCAAACATGCATTCTGGGTCTCCAGAGGGTAAATTCAGACAGACATAGGTCAATAAAGCAGGAACAATGTATGAGGAAACTCAAAACATAATAAGATGTCCTGACATTCTGTATCCCCGGCCAAAGGGCTGCCTAAAGATGTTGGTAACCTCAATAAGAAGGATAGGATCTGGAGAGCAGACAATGTGGTTTAAATAATAACAGTTCTCAGAGCTCCTGGCATTCTTTTCCTGCCTGCTCCAATGGCTCTGACCATTATCCATGATGAAATCTTATCCACTGGATTTTAATTTTATGCTTTTTTAATCATGGTAAGGCTATTAAACTGCCATTCTCTGTGCTAATGTTTTCCAGTCCCTCACAAAAGAGAAATAGCAATATGTTCAATAAGTATAGCATATTTTGGAGCAAAACTTCCGCTTCATATTTCAATAATTTATTTCTAGACAAAATTAAGTAAACACAATCCACTGTATTCCTCTGCTAATTACAGATTAAAATGTTGACAAAATCTATGAAATAACTATCAGAAACTTTTGAAAAGTAATGAGAAAAGGATTGTCTAGGGATTTTATGAATAGAAAGATAAACCTGCAGTGAATTTTCCTCGGTTATTATCTTGGCCTGGGTGCTAGAGTAGCCTAAAGCCCATTCTCACTACCCAAAGAACAGAGAAGAGGGTGGCCCTGTAGGGCCATACCCTTTTAACTATACCTGCCCTATTTCAGGCAAACATCATGAAAGAAGTTGATCTGCACAACACTAGGTTCTAAGAAGACTGCAGTAGACCCCTGTCAACCATCCCTGCTATGCACTAGGACAAAGAGAGACTTCATTCCTTCCCTTCTCCACTAAAGTGGGAGTCTCTGTGAAGTTGCTGGAGTTGAGGCCTGTCAAACTATGTCTGTCTTTCAATAAGGCTGACAGAGGCAGTGCCCCTCTCCCTCTTGACCATGCTCCCAAGAGACTGGAGGATAGAGTCCCATTGACTACAACCACTCTCACTAAGAGAAGCAGTAGTAAC